CTTATTTGGATTTGGGATTTTGATGAATATATTTTTATGATAAATTTTTGTTTCAGTTCCTCTCTGATTAAAAATGACAAATGCTGACTGGAACAGAAAATAAATTAAACATTTATTCAAAATTCACAAAAACAAGTATAAAATAAATATAAATAATTAAAACTTCAAATAATTTTTTAATAGTTTATAGCAGATAAGCATTTGAAATTATTGAAACTTAAACTGCACAGAAACATTTAGGGTATCCTGTATAGTCATTAATTTTTGCTTAGCCATTTCAGACTAAATTATAGATGTCATACTTTACCCCTAAAAACTTCAGCATACATTTTCCAAAAATAATGATATTCTCCTACATAATCACAATACCATTTTCACATATAACAAAATTAACAATAATTCCCTAATACTATCTAATATCCAGTGCATGTACAAACTTCACCAGGCATCCCCAGAATTTCTTTTTAGCTGCTTTTTGGAACCACAATCCACTCAAGGATCACAGGTTATATTTGAGTATCAGATATCTTAAATACCTTTTAAGCAAGCACCATCTCTCCCCATTTTTCCCCTGGTATTTGCTTTGTGAAGAAATCAGACCAGATGACTTGTAGATTGTTCCAGATTCTGGATTTGTGTGATTGTTTCCTTGTGATACTATTTTTCTGATTTCCTGAAAAATGGATATTAGGTCTAAAAGCTTTGTTAGATTCAGGTGAAATGCTTTGTAAAAGAATGCTTTTTAAAATACTGCTGAATATTTTATTTTAACAGGATTTTAGTGGTTATGGAGTCTTTCATTGTATGGCCATGTTGTTATAGTTAAACAATCACTTATTAGACATAAATATGTTTGAAAGAATATCTAATTATAGTTTTAAAATAATGTATTTTTCAACTTATTCTTTGATAATAGTGCATTTGGGATATATCTTTCTCTGCTTTCCAGCAGTCGAAGTAACCAGAAAATGTCACAGCCTTTTGTAACTTAAACTGTAGCTCCCAAAATAGGGATAGATATTTTTAAAAACCCATTTCCAAAGCTTCTGTAAGATATACTGTGTATACCTCACACATTTTAGGTTTAATGCAGATAACTTACACTTAAAAATACAGTATGTCATAGACAACTTAACACTTAAAAATACAGTATATCATAGACAACAGAACTTTTACTAAGTGTCTTGTACATTGTAATTGGCATTTGGATTTATTCAGACTGATAATCCCCTGAGGAATATAAGCTCTTGTTTATTAACTCCTGGATATTTCTAATGAAACAATTGATTGTTTGCTTTTCTTAGTGTCTAGGTGTTTTAGCAGATGAAAAATTATTGGTTCATGTAATTAAATATTTTGCTTCATATTAGATTCATAACCAAAATCCACTGACCTCTCTGGACTGATAAAAATGTCTTTATCTTTATTCCTTTGTCCAGGGCTTTTTTCTTTCCTCATTTCTCTTTTCCAAGTTACAGATCAACAGTTTATGTACAGTTTATTACATTTCTATAAACTTAAGTAAAGTTTAACTCCATGACAGATAAATTATTCAAAATTAAATCTAAGCAGGTTCATTTATTAAGGTCATTAAGCAGATGGTATGCATCTTTTAATTGTGTAAGTATGGTAATTGTAATGTTACTTCAGAATTCTGTGATGCTCTCTGGTTTACAAAACATGTTCCTATACATATCTCATTTGAACCCCACAACCAAACAGTGAAATAGGGATATATATTCCTCATATTCCCATTTTAGAGATGAGACAGCCCAGAAAAGCTACATGACTTGCTTACAACACACTAATAGTAAGTAGTAGGAACCAAATAAGACCTCACATATTCCAAGACAGGTAAATATGGTTTACACTATCCCACCACACTTGAGTTTTCATTGCTAACTGCTGTACTGCAGGATTTAATGATCAAACTTCATCTCTCCTTTTCATATTTCACACTTGAGAGTTAAAACAGATCTTGCTCAAGATTATTTTTTAAAGCTTTTGAATGAATCATTTTTCAGAAAACAGTTTGCTGATGTTCAAACATTTTAAGACAAATGTGACGGATACTGTGGCACTCTTACTAAATTTTCTTCATCTTAAATATCACATGTTTAATTTAAACTGTGGGAGGCACATTAATTTTACCAGGGCAACAGATGAGCCTCAAGCACCAGCATTCTTCACTTGAAGTGAGAAATTGAGTTCCAAGAGTAAATAAAAACAAGATTGAAGGTTTAAATCCTCTGCTAGGCTTTTTGAACTTATATACTCATTAAATGTTTATTGGAGTGGTGGGATTACAAAGGATTTGGGGAGCTTCATCAACTGGTATATAGTTAATCACTAAGTAAAACACTACATTTGATAAAGTGTTTCTCACGATGCCACATTCAATCCATCTTAATGAAAACTGCTTCAAACTGATTTCATTTGAGAGCACTTGGTGGTGAGAGTGCTTATAGTTCTTTCTGCCTTTTTTCTTGAGGAATTTATAGTACTGTACCAAGCAGAGCTTCCAACTTTGGTAAAGCAGTTATTATAAGTTTTCATGTTTCTTTTAAGTATATCGTGACAAAGTATTGACTTCTGATAATGTACCGATCAGTTTTAGGACTCCCTTCCTTGCCCTTAACTATGAAGGATGCTCACCCATTTGAGGGCTATAAATGTTTATCACATGCTCTCTAAGGATCTGGGAAATAGAGGTTTCCTGCTTTTGCTCAGTCTAATGAGGAAAATAAAACAATATAAACAGATCCATATAGTATAATATACTATAGAAGCAAAGAGAAGAGGTACCTTCAACTACCTTAGAAGTTCAGGGGAAAGATCTCTCCTCCCCTCCCCTCC